ACAAAGACATGACGGTTGACATTTATGTGTTTTATTTGTAGTGAGTTGGTCTTGAACTATTTATATTCTTGAAATGTGTTGGTGACTATTCTGCTTGATGTCAATTGTGTGAGGTAACTTGACGTGGAAAGTTGGGAGTTGATTGTCTCGGAAAAAAAAAAAAGAGAGAAAAAAAAAGAAAGAAAAAAAAAGAGAGAGATGGTGTGAATAATGAATGTGGAGGAGAAAAATAATGGGTATTGTAGAAAAAGAAGAAGAAAAAAAATGATTGTAGGCTGCAACAGCTGCCAGTCTGTGAAGCTTTAGTGCATAACTCTCGCACGAATAGCTAAATACCATGGACTGTGACGGAGATGCCCTTCCCAAAAAAAATGAAAAAAAAAATATCGAGACTTTTGATTTTTGGCTAGAAGCAAAGAAACCGGTTGCCAAAGAAAGGGGTATCATTAGTTGCATGATTGGTATACTCGGTGAAGAGATTGAAGGGTTGCGGTAATTCACTGAATTGATATTTAATTGTTGGCGTTCTAAAGATGATTTCATTTCGAGTCCAGGGATTATTAATTTGAGAAGTTATAACTATGCATTTATGTGAGATGTGTGAGGCCCTGAGTATATATTCCACGTACTAGTTTATATCCATCTATGTGCTTATAGTTGTAAGATTCTTAGGGACAAGCAACGGTTTAAGTTTGGGAGATTTGATAGGTCGAAAAATGTGCATGTTTTATATATTTAATAGTGTATTTTTATACACTTAATTTATTCGCACATCTATATTTTTTTGACTTATTTATTATTTGGATGGATTCATACACATTTATATTTGTATGATTTATTTTCAAAATATTGAAGTATTTTGTGGACGTGAGGCATTGGACGAGAGTTTCCGCGATCAATTATTGGGCCTCCGATATTAGCCCACTTTTGGCCCATGTGAAATTTAAGTCCAATTAAGAGGTGACAAGATTTATTAATCAAGAGGAGTTGGGCTAATTGGCATTTTGGGTTGATATTTATTTTAGTTGGAAGGAGTACACACGCAACACGTAGGGGCATCTATTGTTGGATGGAAGAATTTTATTTGAAGACTTGGGCCATTGCAATTAATTGATTGAGGAGCCCAAAAGAAATAAATTGCCACGCATTCTTGTTGAAGAGAAGTGAGTCGAGAAGAGTTTTAATTGGCAGCCACTTAAAGAGAATTATATTAGCTGCCAGGAGCATCACGCATAAGAAAGAAAGTCGTGAACGGAGCAGAGAAACACACATAAAAGAGACGTACAAAGGCAGATACTAGCACACGCAGGAGAGAAAGAAGCCGCCACACGCGGAGGGAAGTCGCAACCCGCACACGAGGGAGATTTTATTCTCTCTCTTTTATCTATCTATTATCTCTTTTTATTAGTATGTTAGACTAGAATTTTTATCCAGTTTGAGGGGATGTTTGAACCTAATTCCGATTTGTCTATGAATTGGATGATCTCTATTTATCTTTAGTTAATCGAAACGTCGTATTTATTTTGTTGATGAGTTGATTCATGCTATATGTGTGTAACGTTTATGAATTATGGGTGTTTGATTTGGTTTGGCCAAGTACGTTAAATATTCATAGTTTAATTGCTAGATTCAGGAATGTAATCCGCAATTGTTATTGTCTTGTTTTGTTAGTAGTAAACTGGGGTCGTGCATCTCTAAGGTAGCGTGAACATAAGTTAAATGGTCCAAGCTTTTGTGTCCGTTGTTTAGACTGATCTATTTTCCTAATAATTAATGCTGCTAGTATATTAAATCTAGAGAGCTTATTCTAGATTGTCCACTAGTTAGGTTTAGTCGAAGAGCCTATTTCGATTAAATATTAAGTAAGCGAAAATTCGGTTAACAGAGCTTGTTGTTAATTAGGTTTGGTAATTTGTTGGCAATTTAGAGAAAGCGTCGAAATTAATTAACGGTAGATTTAGATTGGGTGACAACTGAACTGAAAAACTGGACTTCTCTCATTTTATTTTGTTATTTTTATTTTTATTTTTATAAAACCAATCCCCCCTTCCTTTTATTGCTTTCTTAGTTTTAATTCAGTTGATACAAAATTGTCACAATTTAATTCCTACTCCTCGTGGGATCGACCCTTACTCGCCACTACTACTAGTTAGTAGAGGTTTGTTAAGGAAAACAATTATAAATTTAAATTTGCCGCGTCGCGACGCGAGGTCATATTTTTTAACCCCAAGCCAACTCTTCCACATCCAGAAATCAGAGCTTCTCTTATCTACAGACATTATGTTTTGGTTATGAAAATACTTACCCCTAATGACCTTACTCAGCAGCAGGTTTGGGCTTGTCAAAATTCTCCAAAGCTGCTTTAAGCTCGGTGCTTCATTCAAAGCCCCAAACTGTTTAAAGCCTAACCCTCATCAATCTTAGACCTAGCTAATTTCTCCCAATTGGCCCAATGAATTTTCTCTTTACCAGACTCATTCTGCCCCAACCAAAAACTAGCAATAACCCTATAAATATCCACACAAATGCTCACGGGAATTTTAAACACAGACATAACATAGATAAGGAGAGCATTAAGCACTGACTTAAAAAGAACTTCCCTCCCAGCTTCACTCAAGAATCTATTCTTCCAGCTAGAAATCTTAGAAATCACACGCTGTTTAATAAAATTAAAAGTCTCTTTTTGCTGATTTTCCAATTCCTAGGGGAAGACCCAAATATTGGAGTATTTCACAACAACAATGACAAAGAAGATCATACAAGTAGAATTTTTCAACTCTGTAGGAGAATTGCTGGAAAAAAAGATACTGGACTTAGCTATGTTCACAGCTTGGCCAGAAGCAGAATCGTAAGACCTCAGAATATTTAAAAGAAGATTAGCATGGAGAGGGTCTACTTGACACAAAATCAAAGAGTCATCAGCAAAAAAGAGGTGATATACAACAAGGGAATTCTTTCTTATCTTCAGACGTTGAAACCCATTATGAATACAAGCTTGTTTTATGAGATTTGATAATGCTTCTGACAGGATTATGAACAGATAGGGGAATAAAAGATCCCCCTGTCTTAATCCTCTAGAGGCATTAACATTTCCCACAACCTAGATATTGAAATTGAAAGAAAAAAAAAAGTAACACTAATACAAGACCACACCCAAAACAAGAACTTCTCATAAAAACCCATAGCCCTACAAACATTCAACAAGAAACCCCACTCAACCATATCATATGCCTTTTCCATATCTAATTTTAAAGCCATAAAACACTTTTTGCCTTTTCTTTTTACTATTCAAAAAGTGGATAGACTCATTAGCAATAACCACATTATCAAGGATTTGTCTACCTGGAACAAAGCCAGACTGAAACTGAGAAATACGAAAACCAAGCACAATTTGAGCCTATTTGCTAAGACCTTAGTAATAATCCTATAGGTAACAGAACATAAATTGATGTGCCAGAAATCAACCACTTTTTTTAGATTTATAACTTTGGGAGTTTGCCCGCTGCGATTACAGTTTTCTGTGATAACAGCGAAGTAGTAGCAAATTCGAAGCAGCCACGGACTCATAAAGCGAGTAAACACATAGAGCGCAAGTACCACCTAATACGAGAAATCGTTTGACGAGGGGAAGTCGTTGTTGCCAAGATACTGTCTGAGGACAACCTAGCAAATCCTTTTACGAAGAGTCTACCGGCGAAAGTCTTTGAGAGACATGTAGAAGGAATGGGAGTCAGACGTTAGGGCGACATAGTAGACTAGTCTTTGAGAATTAGATTGAAAGAGAATTGTGGTTAGTGATAGCCATGAGCTTATTAAGCATAAGTGGGAAATTTTTAGATATGCTGTAAAAGATTAGCTTTCAGATATAAACAATACCCTTTTGATCTGGCAATCGTGTTTTAGTCAAAGTATTTATGTTTGCAGCTTATTTATTTATGCATTCATAACTCCATTATTTTACATTGTAGATAGTATGGTTCGTCATGTCGAACAGAAAGATCATACTATCGGTTCCTTGTAAAATATAAACTAATTGTTCATAGTTTAGACAGACAGTGAGACCCATGTTGGAAAAGACTGTAGTGTAATTATTGATTCGGTTGATCTTTGACTGATGGGTTACACTGGTACTTATGATAAGTATTGAACAGGACCGCAGAAGGATAAGATAATAAGATTTACTGATCATATTGATGCGTACTCTTAAGTTGTAAGATAATATAAAACGGGCATATATATTCATTATTTATTTATTTATTTTATTTACCAAGAGTGATCCTATTCTGTTAGGATGACATACTCGATACTTTGGTAAATAAGAGTGTTTATATGATGTGACGTTATAAATTATTTACAATCACTATGTCCCAGTGCGCTGGGTTGATGACGTCCCCAAACTGAGCTCAGTAAGGAATATTATGTCATACCCAACAGGTGGATAATTATCCGGCATAATGATTAATGAACTGAGTGGTACTAGTTTCGGAAATGATAAGAAGTCAATTTAATTTTATTGTCGGTGATTAAATTAATCGACAAAAGTTATATCTTAAACATAGGGAGATAAATCGATTAATTAGATTAATATTAATTAATCAAATTGAGGTTTGAATTTATTGAATAAATTAGAGCTAAATGGGGAGAGCAATAATATTACTCTAGTGGGATGTTTTATTATTTATTTCTATTTAGGAATTAATTATATTCCATAATTTAGATCTCATTAGGAGAGGAATATTCCTTCTAAATGATAAGCCCATATTTAGCACCTCCTTAAGGTCCCTAATGTAGCCTATAAATACACCATGTCCCAACCTCTTCCCCTACACATTGATGAACTCGATTTTAAGGTTCTAATAAGAAGAGAAAAATCAAGATCTTCATATATTCAAGAGTTCGGGAGATTCGATTAATCGCACCACCAAGATTAGTCGAAGTAGGTGTTTACGTATTACATTAGAAGGCTTTAAGGTACAATTTATTCAATCCTTATAGTACACCTAAATTCCAGCCATATCTACTGCCGTCTGCTGCCGTCGACAGCCGCCGAAAATTGCCGCCGCCGTCGGAAGCCACCCGCGCCAGTCGCAAGCAACTGCTCGCAGCCGTATGCCGCCAGGCGCACTCGCACACTCCCAGCAATGCAATCCCGTGCGCACGACGCCGTTCCGGCACGCCGCGCACCACCGCCACCACTGTTCTTCGCACCCCGCTCCCAGCGCGAGAAGCACGCGCGCCTTAGTCCGCGTATGCCCACGAGATCCAAGACGCCAGCACCCAGTCTACATCGGTATAGGAAGCCGCAGCGCCGCACTTGCACGCGCTTGACCTCCTCGCTGTCGATCAGCGCCTGCGACACCCGTCTGTCTAACCGCGACGCGCCCTGCCAGCGAGCCACACTTCCTGTCCGCAACCAGACCCGTGACCGAGCCCAGCCCAGACCAGCCGCTCCCAGCTGAGGTCCGATCGAGCCCAACCACGACCTGACCGAGCCCATCGACGTCCGACTGGCCCGAGCCCGACGAGCCTTGTCCCGGTGATCCGTTCGTGATCCAACGACTTGATTAGAATCGAGAAAAGCCAAGTCCGGTAGCCCATCAGACTCTGATATTCAGACGATCACCATCAACGGAAATCAGAAACGTCTCAGAGTTAGCTAAAATTTTAAACGGTAATGTTCTAACCCTAACTATAGATTCCGCTACATTAGAGTTTATTTTGCCAAATTCAAACGTGCATGTCATCGACGTTTCTAACAGAACCCAACAAGAGATTCCTTCAAGAGTGGGCTGAGATATACTATCAAGGATGGCAAGTGTGTTAGGGTCTGCAACCATCCCTGGGTACCAAATATCCCTGGTCTTAAACCTCAAAACAGGAGCAACTCAGTAATACACATACAGTGGGATAAAGACCTTTTGGAGGATTCAGGCAGAAGATGGAACAGGAGGCTAGTGGAGGAATGCTTCTAAGCTTAAGAAGCCAAAGCCATTTTGAGCATCAGTGGGCTAGATCCTCATCAGAAGGACAGGTTGACCTAGGAGTGGACAACTAGTGGCAATTTCTGAGTGGCCTCTGCTTATTCAAAATTGATTCATAACAAATTTTTTTAACATGTACTCACCTAAATCAGCAATGATCAGAGCACATGAGGAGCTAGAGACTGAGAATTAAGCCTAAGGTGAAACACTTTCTGTGGAAGGGCTTAAACACTAGTAGAAAAAACACTTTTCACATCGGGTGTTTACATCGGTTTTTTGAAAACCGATGCAAAAAACACTTTTCACATCAAGTGTAACATCGGTTTTACAAAAACCGATGTGAATTGTCATCAGGCGCATCGGTTCTTAGAAAACCGATGTGAATTGGGTAGGCAGCTTTTTTTACATCGGTTATATGTATAACCGATGTAAAAAATATAATATACAACATCGGTTTAGGAAAACCAATGTTTGGGATTGTGTATAGGCATCGGTTTCAACACAACCGATGTGTGGGCCAAAGCCTAAAATCGATATGTCCAAAAATTTGGCCCGAAAAGTGAAATGCATCAGTTTTATTTAACTGATGTAAAGTTGGCCCAAAAGTGATGCCCAAAAAATTAATTTTAAAGTCTGCCAAATCAATCTCTCTTGTCAATCTTTCTCAATACTGATTTCTCCAAAAACCCTCGCCGTCCACGCAGCTTCTCATCGTCCGTGCAACTTCACGGCCTTCTGTCGACCGCAAGCCCGGCGCACCTTCATGGCCTTTTCGTCGTCGCCGCACCTTCTCCGGGCCATCCACAGTTTGTTGACCGCGAGCCTGAGTGACCTCCTTCGAGCGACCGTCGTCCGTCGACCGCCCATCGTTGTCCGTCGACCGCCGCCTGCCGTTCTTTGGTAATACGTATATTTCCGGCGCACCTTCACGGTTTAGTTGATTTAATGAGTTAATTTCGTATGACCAAGGTTTAGTTGTGGCTAAACAGCCTTTATTGATCTCATATGATATTTACTAAGTGTGACATTATTTTGTTAATAAATTGTGAAAACCGATTGTGATTTTGTTTGTGTTGTATCACATTATATTTTTCATTGGTTTAAAAAGAAAAGGATATATTTTTTCTAGTTAATTGAGTGATTATTTATGAGATTTTGGTCAATATTAAGTTTGAGATTTTGATGGTAGTACTAATATGTATGTGTTTTGTTATATGTGTTCTGTTGAATATGTTTTGTATAATTGTTTTGTGAACAAAAGGATTAGCTCGCTCTTGTTTTTTCTCAGAATTTTATAGTAGAGTGGAAAATAAAAAATTGTTGAAACTTGTGAAGAAAGAAGCTGTTAGTTTTTTGGGATCGTTAGCATGCTATCTGTTGGAAGTCTATTTGTAAATGAAGTTCTTGTGAGAAGTTCATATACTTGCTTAAGATTGCACCTAGTCTCCTCCCCAAGAAAATTATGTGATACGTTTGATGGTTTAACAAATTTCACTTTTAGCTAATCTTCGGACTCGTAATCTATCACCTGTAACTGTGGGTACAGAGGGGATTTCGAACTGAGCCCTAACATGAAGATCAAGGTGAGGCTCCAGGAAAGTTAACTTTTAAATAGTTTTATCTCCCTGACAGTGGATCATATATTTTGGATGAAATTAAGGTTGATTATGAATACAAATACGTTGACGATCCTGGTAGAGTTACACCACCCGAACAATGGATCAAAGGGTACTGATATGGTCCTCAGGTAATCCCTATATCATCTGCTGAGTTGGATGCTGTCAAGTTCAAACCAGAGAATGGTTTGAAACTTCTAGGTTTTATGGAGGCTTCAAATGTCATGAGGTGAAAAAATATTCTTAGTGCTTTCTCAAAGAAATATTAAGATTTGTTATTTAGTTAATTCTTGTCAGAATATTGATATTTGTGGCCATCCATCTTGTGGTTTAAGGCACTATTACATGAAAGTGTCAACATCTTAATTGTTGAACCTGAAAAAATAAAGGCAATTCATGAGGTTTAAGTATTAGCAAGAGCAATGAAGGAAATGAATAAAGTAGCTATTGTACGTTGTGTTTGGAGACGAGGGCAGATGAATGTTGTCATAGGGTTTCTAACTCCTAATATATCTGAGAAAGATAATGTTGTGAGTAATTGGAACAGAATTTGCAAGTTTATACTGCCTTTTAGTGTGCGAGTTATTGATTTGTTTCTGCTTATTTTTTCTACCATTAAATTTGCAGCTGGATTCATTCTATTTCAAAGTACTTCCTTTTGCGGAGGATGTGGGAGTTTCAGTTTCCATCTCTATGCAATTTGCCTTCGACAATGCAGCCAACCGAACAACAAAAAGAGGTTGCTGATAAGTTGGTCCAAATGCTTGATCTTGCTCCACCTGGCAGAGAGGAAGCCTTGCAACCGAATGTCACACCAAATCCTGTTCTAGAGGTAAACTAATAATAGAATGCTACTGCAATATTGAAAAATAATTAATTCTATATGGAAGTTCTGTTCAGTTTTTTGTCTTATTAGCTGGTTGTCCAAAAGCAACTAACTTGCAGCAATTTCCTATGCTCGAGATTATATCACTTGATATTATCCACTCGTTGGAAGAGGTATGGTTTTATTAAAATCAACTTTATGTTCTATTTAAAATCACACACTTCAATTCAATATAAGTTATAGTGATAATATTTGTTTGTATCATGTAGGCTTTGAGCATTGATGAGCCATATTCGGACGAGGACATTGAGAATATAAAAATGCGGTGGACGAAGTAGTTTCTTGAGGTTACTTCATGAGGAAATTAGACTTATCATTTGCTTACGTTTTATAGAATTTGAACTTTATGACAAATTGTGGTTGATGACTATTGTTGGTGTAGTGCATATGTAAACTATTGTTATAACTTGAGGTTATTGAAATATTTTGGTTGTTATTAGTACTTGTCTGTTGATTTGTGAGAATATTTTGAATGTTATTATTTTATAGTAACAGATACAATTAAATAAAACCGTTGTAAAATGTTTGATTTCACATCGGTTTTCATAATTATTGATGTCACTGTAACCATTGTTCACATCGGTTATTTTGAAAATCGATGTGAATTCGAGTAATATGACATCGGTTATTATGAAAACCGATGTTAAATGTCTTTATTTAATCGGTTTTACCAATAACCGATGTATATAAACCTTACTTACATCGGTTTTTATAATAATCGATGTTAAATGTCTTGATTTACATCGGTTTTCAAATGAACCGATGTAAAAAAGGTTTTAATAAAATCGATTTTTCATATTTTTGAGGCCTATTTTTTGTCTTATGACATCGGTTGTTGTGACAGCCGATGTGAACAAGTTTTTTATCATATCGGTTCAAAATCGATGTAAATAAGACAGACTTTTAACATTACCTGTTTCAACATCGGTTTCAAAATGGGGTTTTAACCGATGTGAAAGTGATTTTTAACCGATGTGAAAAGTGTTTTTTCCACTAAACAATATCATTCATGTGAACTGCAACCTCAGCAAGAAAGGACTGGCCATTGATCAGACCTTTAAGATGTGTGGGGAAGAGAGAGAAGCTCAGGAACATCTATTCTTTAAGTGAAAAAGAGCTAAACTCATATGGAAACTCTCCCAGTTTCTTGGGAAGGCATTGAGATAGACACAGATAGCTTCAAACAGTGGTGGCCAAAGGCTTGCTCAGTCAACAAGTCACCAACCTCAGAAGCAAGGTTGCAACTGTCTTCTTACATCCTTTGGTGGATGTGGAAGACCAGGAATTTGTGGGTATTTTCAAATGTTTGGAGATCTAAAATAGATACAATCAGCTTAGCCATCAAGGATTTGAATGAATTTCTTGTTGTTAATAACTCTATAGCTAGTTGCCTCTAGTTGGTTGTTTTTATGTTGTGGTTGTTTAGTCTTTTGAAGATTAGCTAAGTCCAGTAGTGACAGTGGTTAGTCAGTTTTGCCTGCTTCTTGGGTCCTTCGGTATTCAGTGTAAGGGCAAACACCCTAGATTCTTAGTGATAGCAAGCTGGGGATGTTGCTCTTAATGCTCTAGTGGGTTTTCTTACTGTAGTGTGTTCATTTGTATTTGGGCTAGTTAGCCCTCGATTGTAAATTTTATTCTAGTAATATAATATATCATGTCGTTTCGATAATAATAATAAAAAAAAAAGAAAAAAAATTGTTCATGTGTTGTAAGAATTGCCAACTCCTATGATGCAAAAAAGATGATAACTTACAAAGATGTTTCGAAGATCCTCGACTGCAAGGAAAAATATTTATTATTTATTTTGTCCTCGACAATTATAATAGTATAATTTGTATTTTCTCTTTTTTTTTTTTTCATTCGTATTTCTTTATTTAGAATAAAACTAATTATGATTTTTATTTTCATTTTTGTTTTTTATTGGTAACGCTATATTTTAGTTTTCATACAAATTAACAAGTTGATTACTAGTCTATATATATATAATTGCTGGCTCATGAGCATTTCATAAAATCTGTTAAATTATACCTATGTGGCAATATAACTTTTTCCCTCCAAAAACCGTTACTTTTTATTTATTTAACTTCTCATTTAATTATTATATAATCAACACACTAATCACTTCAAAATTACAAAAATTATTCAAAAGTTTTGATTTACTTACAGCTGACCATATAATGTATTGACTATTTAACGTGATTAGATGTTATTGTTGTGGTTACATTTAAATTAACTTCTTTTGAAAAATAAAAAACGTATTTGAAATTCCTAAATAAATAATAAATAATTCACATAAAAAAATACATACCAAAATATACATTACATCTAATATGATAAACACAATTTAAAAAAAATAAATATTCCAACTCTTTTAATTGTAAATTTGGCCTGCAAAAAAGTGCAAGAAAAATCATTAATCATTATATGCACACAAATAACTCACAATACTTTATTTATATCTGTGCAAATGCACAGGTCGAATACTAGTTAATATTAAAAGAAAGGACACTTTTCGTTCTTAAGTGAAATACTAGTTGAGCATGTTAGATCTATTTTTGGGATAAATATGTGTAATTGATATATTGGATAATTATATTGTTTAGTCAAATTATATGATCAAATTATTGTACATTGGCTAAAGAACTTAATTTAGATTGTGGAATGATTAAATGTGGACACCCAGTAATATTATTATTTGGTGACGTAACAAATAATAATATTAAATTAAGAACCTAATTAACAAATAATTTAGGTCAAAATAAGTAATAGGTGGAGTCCCCAAAAGTCGTGAAAATACTAAGAGGCCCTTGGGATTAATTCTTTATTAAGGTACAAGAAAAAAAACTGTCCCACATAACTCTTCCATCAGTTTTTCATCTTCCCTACGTCATAAGAGAAGAGTATTCGGTTCACGGCCTTTTTAAAGATCTCTAAATCACAAATCCAAACTTGAGTTCTAAAGCAATCGATCAACATGAATCCATCAGACATTTTTTCACTATTCAATTTCGATTCTTGATTATTTGATATTATCTCTCTTAAGATTATGCGATTTCTTAAATCCAAATTCTATCTGAGCATGTATAATAAATTGAAGTTTAAAATAGTAAATTCATGGAAATTATAAGGGTTAATTTTTTTTTGGTACAATAATTAGGGTTAATTTAGTCAAACATTTGTTAAGATCTTCAGCTTGACGTGTCGGAAAGAGAAGAGACAGGACTAGTAAATGGTACGTGTATCGCTATGGAATAGCCACGTGGTCAAAACTCCATGCAAAACCTGGCACTTGATTGAATTTCCCCCTTTATTTAAATATACAAAACCCACCCCTGTTTTCTTCTATTTATCCATTGCATTTCAATTTTCCATTCAAATATCAACACAATAAATCAACGCTCCTTAAAAAAAAGAGGAAAAACTCTTTGTATTGTACTAAGTAGATCAAAGAAAGAGTAAACAAAAATGGAATCGCAATTGCAGCGCCCTTCGCATGACCATCGTCGCTTCGGACAAGATCCACAGCACGCTGGGCTACATTCTGGTTTGTTATTTCACTATTTTATATGTGTGTGTGTGTGTGTTAGTGAGTGTAATTGATATTATAATAATTAATTAACAATTTTTTTAATGGGTAAATAAAGTGATTGAGGGTGAAGGTGAGGAGCAGCAGCATGAGCACAAGTCGGTGCTGAAAAAGGTGAAGGATAAGGCCAAGAAAATCAAGGATAAAATCTCCAAACACCAACACCAACAAGGTGATGAAGATATATATGAAGAAGATAATGATGAAGATGAAGAAGAAGAAGTTGTAAATGATCCTGAATTCCATGGTGCCCCAAGTTAGTATTTCTTTTGCTCTTTATGTTTANTGGTTAGGAATTATAATATTGTCCTTGTTAGAAAGAAGCTCTTTTCATTGTCAACTCACAAGTCACTAAAAAGATTGTCACAAGTTAGAAATTTAAATTGTTCAATTCCATACTTTCCAGTCTTGGATGTAATTAATTGTGCCTTGTTGGTAAATTAACTGGTCATGATCATGTTAATTTTTTGTGAATCGGACATTCGTATAGTCATTTTATTTATGTACGGAAAGTATTCGATCAAAGAAAGTCGCAAGACCTATAAATTTGACCTTAAGAAAGCAGTTCTCTTGAATCCTACATATCCAAAACTGAACTGCTGATACATGATATTGCTTGGCTTAATTTTGTCATTGACTGACCTAACCATTTGGTGTGGGTGCAGTGTATGAAACCACTGTTATAAGGAGCATTGATGTACCACCTAAGACCAACTCTGATAAAGCTGGACATGTCAAGACAGGCCCAATGGCAACTGAACCAAGAGACCCAATAGTCGTTGAAAAGCCCAGGCCCATTAAGCATGATGAAGAAGAATCAAAGTTGAAAATTGGGCCTCCAATGGGGTTGGAGGAGGATCCTCACTCCCCATACAACACCCCACAAGCATCCAACTACCAATCCAAAGTCTCGGACCCAACTGCTTCTGGTAACAACACATTAAACGTAATTATTATTGTCTTAAACTTATCATAGTAGCATATATCATGAGTCTTTTAAGTAAATCAAAATCTAAGCTAATGGAGGCAGTAAGAATCTGCAAAATTTAGTTAGTTGGAAAAAGGAAATTAAATGATCAAATATAGAGTAAAATGCAATTTTAGTCCTCTATGTTTCACTACCCTAGCTTTTCGTCCTCTTCCAATTGCATTTTTTATTTTCGTCCGTAAGTCCTTTTTGCAACAGAAAAGTCCTTTATAAAAAAATAAAAAAATGATTCAATTTTGTCCCCTTAAGTAAGTATGAAAATGACATTTTTGTAACTTTTTTGCAAACATACTGGACAAAAATAAAAAAAATAAAAAAAAAAACGCAATTCGAAAAGGACGAAAAAATTAGGGTAGTAAAACTACAGGAATAAAGTTGTAATTTACTCATCAAATNTTTTTTTGTTCATTGTCAAGTTTATTCTAAGCTCCAGTTACTATTCTTGTATTCTAAAATTTCATCATGTTCTCTATAACAAAAATTTAAATTTGGCATTCGACACAACTCGGACATGATCATGTTTGTGCCTTCCTAGGTGGGAATGAAGCCGATGTTTCTCCACTTGTGAGGCAGTTGGGCAAGATGAACGTAGATGAGAGACCCGACTCAGAGAAGAGCACCCAAGAAAAAACCCAAGTCCCGACTGCAGACACTATTGGCGGGAAAATATCCGAGTATGCAGAGAAGGTGGCGGAGACACTGGACCCGGTTTATCAGAAGCTGAGGCCAGGGGACGACCACACAGCCGAGAAAAAGGAGAGCTCGGGAGAGGGAGTGATTGAGAGGGTGAAGGATGCAGTGGGGTCGTGGCTCGGGAAGCCCCAGGACTCGGCTTACTGTCAGTATTCCACATATTTTTTTTTTCCTTTTCTTTTTTGCAGATTTTATTGCCTGGTGATTGGAATTTATTATATTTAATTACATTTGGTTTGGCTTTGGAACAAAATTTGATTGTGTTTCCTCATCTCTTTCTTTATGCATATGTTTACTTGGAGCTTATGAACATTAACTTCTCTTTTTTAAGTTGTTTATGTTGTGTGGCTTTGCTTGTAGTCAGCGGTTCGAGCAAAGAAGAAGGCTGTGAAGGAAAGTGTTGAAGTGGGATTGCTTAAGATG